TTGCACATAAGAGAGTGCTTCCTGCACTGAAATCAATGGCCATACATCCCTTACTGCTTTTTTTCAATGTACTGTTTTAAACACCCGTACATAGAAGACTTTACTATAATGCTTTCTACTTGCTATCTTAGTATTAGGTAATACTGACTAACCAATGAGAAAAAGGATGTGGTCATCATCTCGGTTAAGATAATCTATTGACAAGTGTACCGAGGAATTTTCAATAGATTAACCTTTTAAACAAAATGACCAATCAGAAGTCGTTCAATATTTTATTTTTAAACTACGAGATTCTACAATATGCACCGAAAAACTTTTGTCTAACAAGGCAAGTCTATATTCTTTCTTAAACACAGTTTTCGGGTGAGATTGTTTTCATCGGGTTGGGTCGGATTCGGGTTAAGTTGTTGTCGGGTCGGGTCGGGTGCGGGTCGGCATTTTGGCAGTCGGGTCGGGTTCGGGTTAGGTTTTCTTGACCCGTGCAGGTCTCTAACATAGAGTGATAAAAGTATAAATTGAAGGTTGAATGTTGGCGAGATCAAAATATGTGAATACAAAACACGAATATATATGACTGTACGTCTATGCGATATGGATATTCCATATGTATATATATTTTTATACTTATATCTGCCGAACACTTGATGATCCGTGTGGAATCGTATAATGTGGGAGTTATTGAAACATTTTTTTATATTTTTTGGATTTGAAGAATGGTTTTTGATGGTTTTTTCCGCATCAAAGTCTGTGCTAAGTTCGGTGTTACACGATATCTCAGCTGTGGATTGATCATAGCTAGAGGTGTGTCGTAAAATATGTCGGTCCAAAATCGTCTAAAATCTGAAGGTAAATCTTTCAGCTCAGGTGGATAGGAAAAATGGACGAATAAGTCTTTATCCCAATCAATTGGGAGACGCTCGGATCTTGCTTTTTCCAGTCCAAGTTTCTTAATCGCATCCGAATTATCTGGTAGTTTTGAAATAGGTGCTTTTCAGAAAGTAATTTTAAATCGGAGAGAAGTCGAGAAAACTGCGCATCTATAAAATGTGAGGGATAACTGTTGAGAAGAAGTCGTTGTCGTATGTCAAAAAATTCATGCCTGCAATCCTGCATATCGGAAGTAATTCGAATGGCGCGTACATACGCGGCATATGGGATATTCTTTTTTATGTGTTTGGGATGAGAGCTGTCAAACGGTAATATGTAAGGTTGTAGGGCTGTCTTTCGATATACCGTCGTCCTCGCACGTGGTGCGCGTACATGGACAGTAACGTCCAGACAGTCTACCCGCTTCCCAATTTCGTGCGCGAGTTTAATATTTTCATCCTTCTGATTTAATTGTTGTAGCTGGTGTTTGATATCAGAAAAAGATTTGTTTGTCGTGATGAAAATATCGTCTCTAAATCTCACATACAATTGGCCATCCTGCTGTTGTTGTTTTCGAAAATACATAAAACTGGGAAGAGTATTCCACGCATAAGATTTCTTGATTGTTTGCTTCACTGCTTTATGAAAGAAACATCAAACTTAAAACGTTCTCAGATATGACTGCAACAATGACATAGCATACAGAATTATTCAATCGTGAGTACTTAGCATAGTGGAAGTGCAGTGTATTGAGTTATATGATTATCTAGTTCTCTGATCGTCCGCTAAAATAGACGCCCACGAATGCAGATGTGGAGAAGACCACCTGGTCTTCTATTTTGTCGGGCAAGTCGACTACTAAAGGATGGTCTTCTGTCACTCGTGGTAGTGGTCCAATGGCAAACCCCACATACTTCAAGTCCAAACCCCTATTAAAAGAACATTTTGGCAAAATTGTTTTGAAAATTGCTCTATTTTCAGATTTTTTTAGGGGAACATAATAGAAGACCAGTTGTCTTCTAATACGGAATGGTCGTCTATTATGCGGGGGAGGGGAGCCTTATCTGATTCTGCAGAACTTCGACCAAAACATTTAAGCGATTGACTGCTTGCTAACGGAACTGCAGATTCAAAACAGGGTGGGATATGGTTTTCCACTTTCCGTCAAAGTTTTGATGGGCGGAGCAATGTGTTTGGCATCGAGAGAAAAAGTGCTCAAATTCTTTGGCGGATTCCAATTGAACTTAAAACAATCAACAAAATACTACCATTTTACAAAATCTAAAATGGTCTTACACCACCCTTTCTTTCTGAACGAATCATCAACAGCAGTTTATGAATATATCTTTACGTTCCAGAAAAAGAGGATAAATTTCTATCTTTTGTACGGATACAGACAAATTCAAAGGACGAAGAACGATAAGAGCCAAAATGGGTCCATGCTCGAACTCGTCTTATATTAAGTCATCTGATGCAGTATTTCTCCGCGAACAACGCTAACATATTTTTAGATCTTAAAAATCCTTTTCAGCACCCTTGGAAATATTTCAGCAAAAAAAACTCTTCTCGCGTTAAACGACCTTTGCTCAAACTATTTACATCATTCCACCTCTTTCACCTAAACCAAAAACCACTATTATACACCGTTCAACAGAGAATTTTACGGGATACAAAATGATATATAAGATAGTCTTAGAAAAATGTGACTGGATAGTCTAGACTCCGAAATACTTGGTAGCATCATAGTAAACCGGTAGGTTAACGTGGTTCATCTCTATAATATCCGCTAATTTTCTCGAGAATTACTCCACTTTATAAATCATTTGACAGAGACTTCCACGGGCTTCAAAATGAGCCATAAATCAAAAACATGCTCACATTGGTGAATAGTTGAAATACTTGGCTGATATAATGATTTTCACCTATCTTAGTGCTTTGAACACTCCGTTAGTCGTTTTCTGCCATAATGAAAAATTATGTATTGCTCGAAAACATACCGTTAGATAGCCCTTGAAATTCTCTACAAAGTGAGCAGATCACAATATCCAGAAACGTGGGACCAGTCATTAAAGATATGAAAAAGAAGCTTTTGGGTATTATTTAAGCAGTACAGTGTGTCACATCAAAAATTTTCTCATACATATCTCTTTCCTTTCTTCATTCTCTCTTCTTTCATTTGGTCTCACTCACGTGTAGGTCACGTAAAATAACGTTGCTGGTTATTTATTCTAAATGAGTAATCGTAATAGCCAAAGACAAAAGAGTCGTTATGATAATTATGGTAAAAATAGAACAAATTTATTGGTTAACAATGATTTAAAGGATTCTGGTAATGAAAATTACTCGAACGAAAATGAATAAACAGTCATTTCTGGATCAAATGATCGTGTTTTTTACTGATTTATCGAAGGCCAGGCCTAGTGCCAGTAATCGACATAATGCATTACTAGATAGTCGTTATCAACAATACAACAATGATTTCCTTCATAATCAACAGCACCAGTTTATGCAACGTCAATACAATGATTATTATAATCACCAGCAGTATTATCATCAACCCCAAGTCGATTATACAAATCAGGGTAGATCGAGCCTTCTCCCACTATCTGCTGGTCTATCTAATCGTACTCAGGCAGCTAAAATACCTGCGCTAACTACCATACAATCTTCGGTACGAACAATGAATCATGGTTTGATAAACCAGCCGTTTAATGATCAACATCTAGCACGTTTTACTCAACAAAATTCTAGTCCTAATGCACCTAATAGTGCTTCGACGCCAAAAAGACAAATTGAAAATGAACAATACAAGAGTAACTTAAATAAACGACCAAAGTCAACGTTAAGCCGGCAACCCCTTAATAATAATAATAATAGCTAGTGACTTAATCCATGAAAATCTTATTCAACATGGTGTCAGAATTAATCCTTTTTCCGTTGCTGTATCCACCGGAAAATATGAATTAAAATTAGATGTTAATAATAAAGAAGATTATTCTACCTTAATATTAACGGATAAATGGCCAATTCATGTTAGTAATAAAAGAATTACAGTTCTTAAATCTAAATTTGTACCTGAGTGCTTTACATTAGTTATTCGGCATGTACCAAACACTTTTAATCTGGAGCAAGTTAAAGAAGGAATAAAACGTTCTATAAAATCTGTTGATCACTTTAAAGAAATCATTTATTCCTACGAACGGCTCACAAGAGATTACCGTTTTACAGTAACCGATCTGAGAAAATATAACTTGGCATCACAGCCTGGTCGTATTGCAGTGGGTAACCGATTACAACCTATCACAACATACAAAGCAGCAAACAAAATGACATATTGCACTAAATGTTGGGGTTTGGACCATTTGAGAGATATATGTACAATACTAACTCAAAGATGTCGAATATGTTTAGGTAATTTTGGTCCAGATCATCAGTGCTCTAATGTTCTAAAATGTGCTAATTGTCAGCTGGAGCATCACTAGATCCAAGATGCGATGTTATTCGTCGTTATCGTACGGATTTAAATAAAGCTGTTAATATGGCTATTAGTGAAGGTAAATTACACCGTCGGGAAATACCACAGCAACAGTTTCAATCGACAACATTTCGTTATAACGGTAATGATTTCCCGGTAAGGAATACTGATAAAATCAAGTCTAATCCATGGAATCTACAGAATAATAATAATAATCAGCAGAACATAATAATCTATTTACAACAAATGAATAATGACATTAAGCAAAATTTTAAATAAATTAATGACAAATTAAATATCCAACAGCAAGTGATTGAAACTAACATAAAAGATGCTCATTTGAATAAAATAGTGATACAATCAACTCTGTCAACGATATCCAAAAGGATGAATAAAGTGATTAAACCCCTCATTAATTTAATACAAGAGGAACCAGAGAAAGAACGACTTTTAATGGCTCTGGACGATTATTGTAATGACTTACTAAAACAGCATATGAGTGTTACAGAAGATTTTATCAGTATAGATAGTCGAATATTAATAAATCAGCAGCAATCAACGCCTATCATAACCACAGTAAATAACCCCAATGATAATATTAACAATGAAGTTGATGGCGACAGTCAGTTGTTAGACTATAGGAAGTGAGAATCGCTATGCCAATGAACCCAAACGCTCCAAGTTTTGTCAGTGTTGCAGTAGAAGCGCAACTGGTGATGGCTCGTAAGAGAATGACATATTGTAATTTCTCAGACTCAGTGATAAGAAAGATTTGTGTTTATTTGTATGAGTGGTTTTCTCGTTTGTCACTTGACTCTCTTTTGGATAACTGGGAACGCTATGGCGATTTACCACGTAATTTGAAGAATAGGCACCTAACAATACCAATAAATTTTTGCCTGTAAGGATGGAAAACTCGGACTTTAGAAGTTTTAGACTTGGTCCATAGAGTGGACGCTTCGCTCTGCGTTTTCACGGAGGTTAGAACCCAGTGGGATAGCTTTAAACTATCCGATTTTAACTTTTTTCATCAGCGTGGTACAAATCACAGTGGTGGAGTATGCGTTGCAATAGCAAAGCATCTTAAGGCAACTAATGTAGAAATCAATTTACCGAATACAGTTATAGTAGATGTAGAAGGATTTTCAGAATCGTTAAGAATAATCGGTTTATATTGGCCAAAATGCTAGAATAGAGATCTAAATGATTTAAAACATTATATTATTAAAAATACTATTCTATCAGATGACTTCAATGCGTCAGTTGTACAGTGGGGTAGTCCGCTGACAGACAAAACGTGGCGCAATTTTAGAGGACTGGATAAGTAAAACTAATTTACCATATATTAAAAACTCTTTTAATTCTTCTAAATGTTCTTTGCATAATACCGATTTAACTTTCTCAGACATAATGACTTTCAGAGGTGAAACAGTAGATTTTGGTACTAGTGATCATTGGCCTATTGCTTATTCAACAGACGCTATTAGTTTTCAAGCTCTTGTTGGTTTTCCGCATGTAAACTGGAAGGATTATAAAACATTATTATATCTATTACAAGATTTTTGGTTAGAGCGACAAAAAAGAAGTGTCATCAGGCGAATGGTAGGAGGATTATATTCGTTTTCTGTCTGCGCTTAAGAGTCGTGTAACTCAATGGAAAAATAAAGAAAAATATAGGCCATCTCTACCGAGCCATATATTAGTAAAATTGAAAGAATTAAGGAGAGTAAGAAATATGTATTATCGTAAGAAAAAACTTAGTCTAGGTACTGAAGAATTAAGAGTGATGGATGCTTAGAGTGATGAATAGAGAAATAAAAGAAGAAATAGCAAGATATAAGTCATGTAGATGGAATAGGTTTTTATCTTCAATACAAAACAAGTATGTTAATAAAGATAACGTTTTTTGGACATTCTTGTCAAGAATATATAGGCCAAAAGCATTACCTTTCTCTAAGTTAGTAGTAAAAAATGAAATAATTACCGATGGCCAACAAATAACAGAGGAACTATATAAGTACTACGAGAACTAGTTTAAGCCACCGGCTCTGGATCCAACAGATCCGCATGATATCGAAATAGAAAACGAGTATTTGGAAATTATCAATAAATTATCTGTAAATTGTAACGGAGTTTTACCTACTAGTACAAATGAAATAAGTAAACTCATGAAAAAGTTAAAACCAAAAAAATCATCGGGATTAGACTCAGTCTCAAACTTTATGATCAAGCTTCTCCCACCTGCGTACATTGAAGGTCCAAATTCGTGTTTTAATACTTGTTTAAGAGAATATAGATACCCAAACGGTTGGAAAATAGCCAAGCTCGTTATATTAAATAAATTAAAAGCACGAATACCTACATGTGATCAGACTCGGCCGATATCTCTGTTAGCTACACATTCAAAAATTTTTGAGAAGATCATGTTAGAAAGAGTGAAAAATTGGGCAGATGCAAATCACATTATTCCGGACGAACTGTTTACTGCCTACTCGATATTTCAAGGAGTCGAGAATAATTTCACTGCTGATATTCCCACGTTAGCTATATACGTGGATTATCAAAAAGTCTATGACAATGTATGGCATATGGCTGTTATTGTAAAACTATTTCGGTTAGGAATGCCATTAGGGCTGTTAAAAATTATTTATTCTTGGTTAAGCGATAGAAAAGCGTACGTTACCTTAGGCGAAAAGAGATCTAAAGTTGTTTATTTATACATAGGATTGTCACAGGGCAGTAGTTTAAGCCCGTTTCTATTCATTGTTTTTCATAGCGATCTGATCTCTTGTATAGGCGCACATTCAAGACATGTTTTTGCCGATGATCTGAATGTCTTAATAACTCCACCGATAGATACGAAATTAAAACCAATGTTAGAATATTTAGAAAAAGAAGGAACAAAAGTGTGTAATGAGTTAGCGCGCTATTCCAAACGTTGGGAACAGCCAATAAATGTTGCAAAAACAACAATACAACTTTTTCATACAGAAGTCACACTACATCACATAAATATTTTCATGGATAATAAACTATTAGAATAAGTCAAAGCCTTCAAGTGTTTAGGTTTCACTTGGTCAGAGAAATTATCGCTGAAACATACCGTAAACAATTGTTTAGAAAATATGCAAAGATCCTATGGGAAACTCAAGTGGTTAAAAAATAACAGGGAAGTGTCTACTGATGTGCTGCGGCTTTGTTTCTTTGCACACTCATTCCCGCATTTTGCTTGGATATTTCAGTTTTTTCCTTTCCTCCTACATTCACAAAAGGATTCATTTCTTAGATAATTCAGAGTCGGCATTCGACTTATACACCGATGTCATTTCGTTCCCAGTAAAAATCTATTCTCATTTACAAAAGAAAATGGCCTAACGTTTTATGTAAAAAAATATTTAAAGAAAAGGCTAGATAATATGTATAAATCCGACCTCGGTTTTTCACTTTTTTATAATGATGTTTTTTATTGGAGCAATTTTAAAAGGAGAAAAAAAGATGGAATGGGCCACTTTTTTCAGCAAAAACGAGTAAATAATAAAATTCAAAAACACGAATCATTACTGCTGAAATGGCTGAACTTTATTGGATAAATATAATTTTTTTTTCTTACTTTTCTCCTCGTGTTTATTTTTATCTAATTTTATCTCTATAAACCGTTCTAGTACATGTGTTAATGATACTCTCTGTTGTTGAGAAAACAAAGTGTCTTTTTCATATTTTATAAATTTTATGTAACTAAAATGTTCTAATGGGTTCAATTATATCTTTTTCTCTATGTTTTCTTTTTTTTCCAAGCGCTTCCGAGCGTAGCAATAAAGCATAATCCAAAAGTACAGTATGTCATAATCACAAGAACTCTCTTGTTTTTTGACTTTTTAGTAAAAGCTGGAACCAATCTGAATAATGCTTTGAATAGCCCGAAGATTTTTCTATCAGATGCGGTGCATATCGCCCTTTCATGAGAAAAGTTAATAATAGAGTTTCTGGAAAGCCTGACCACTGGCAACCTAAGTCCTTAGTTTCTCGTCAGAAAATTCCGCAGACCATAATAGCCTGATAGATCAAAGAATTCGAAGCAAAATAAGACATCTCACAGCATTCTATAGTGCTTTTTCACCGGAATATTTTGGTAACTTGCTTGCCCTTTGGAGTCAGTGGTAAATCGACTGCAGTTGCGTGAAAAAGCACTATAGAATGCTGTGAGACGTCTTATTTTGTTTCGAATTCTTTGCTCTGTCAGGCTATTGTGGTCTGGAAAAGTTTCTGACGAAAATAGTTGATTTTTGGTTTAGGCGAAAGAGGTGGAATGATGTAAATAGTTTGAGCAAAGGTCGTTTAACGCGAGAAGAGTTTTTTTTGCTGAAATATTTCCAAGGGTGCTGAAAAGGATTTTTAAGATCTAAAAATATGTTAGCGTTGTTCGCGGAGAAATACTGCATCAGATGACTTAATATAAGACGAGTTCGAGCATGGACCCATTTTGGCTCTTATCGTTCCTCGTCCTTTGAATTTGTCTGTAGATAGAAATTTATCTTCTTTTTCTGGAACGTAAAGACATTTGTTTCGCTGACCTTAAGAGAAGAAAAATGTTAATTAAGAAAGAACTAAAAGACAGAGTGTTTTGTTTACTGTACACTACGGAAATAAGGAAGAAAGGAGATCTTAGCACGATATATAGAGTAAAGAGTCCCAAATATAAGGGCATGAGTTTCCAGTAGTTTGTTTTAGTATTAACGAAGTACCAGACACGTCCATGAGCTCAGGTCCAACGACACTAAAATCACCAGAATTACTCGTATCTTCTATCCTGTTCTTTCTCATTCCCTTCTTCATAAGTTTCTTTTCTTTTCGCTTGCTTCCTGACCTTTGTTTCTCTTAAAACACATAGTACCAATACCTATTTCCACTACTCATCTGCAATGCGTTTAATTGCTCAAATTACTTAGTACAATACAACCGGTGTACTATGTGAAATAGAACTGGAAGCGGTTGACGTGTAATTTCTTAAGCTTTTAGATGAGAGACAATGTTTCTTGATCTCCTATAGAACTAACGGGTGAACCATAAAGAATTACACTACCTTGTTTTCGCTATAAGTCAGTCAGTTTTGACACTATCGGCCAAATTTTTTTTAAAAAGATTCGCCATTCAATACTCTACACAATCATACCTAAACTATAATTTCAGAACTTCAACCAAGAAAACTAAGCCAATTAGATGAAAGTCGAAAAAAATGTAAACTTTCAAAACTCGAAAATTATTTCTTGTATTAAAGTTTTGCAAGTAAGAAAAACTGACTTAGCCATTTTGTAGCCCTGACTTCGCTCTATCTTTTAACTACGCTTCAGATTTTTTCACATCAAAAGCCACAGCGAAATGATAGTTTTTCTATCGGTTGTCATGCATTTTTTCATTAATTTTTTAAATTTTTGGTGTAGTAGTGCTTTCAGTAAAAGCTCAATAACTCCATCAAAATAAAAGCTTTTTCGGTCGGGTTTGCCTTGTTTTGATCAGAAATGATTGCTCGTCTCTATCGAACTGCTAAATGAAACTTCAATCGTCTTTTTCGTTTCTTGATTGAGCACATTGTTGGAAACGGGAAAGTTGTCAACTTTTGATGTATTTTTGTACCTTTGTTCTCAAGCACGCCATCTGTTCTAAAAACGTTTTTTACAGACCACGAGAAAGAGCACATTTGAAAGTACTAAACATAAACTGCGTTCTCCCTTTTGCTACACTTTTTAGGGAAAATAGTAGCAGAAGAAAAAGTTCAAGTCGAAATAATTTTTGAGT